TCCAACCTTTTGTCCTCTAGGTCAGTTTCAGTGAAACAACGTGACAGCACACTTTGTGCAGGGCTATGACCAACACATATTTAATCCACCACTGTTAATGACTGGAACAGAGTCTGTGCCTTCCTGCCCTCTGTTAGCACCCTTGGGCAACACACACATCTTCAGATCACAGGGTCTAAATAAGCCGATCAGTCCCTAAATGACTGACACATGACAGAGCCTTGAAAGATGTTCTGTGTTAATCAGATGAGGTTTTAAAAAGTAAAGAAAAAGACCAAGAAAAAAAGAACCAGCAGCTATTACAAATGGCTTAGTTCTGTTTTTCTAAATAATTTCCTCTCCTGCTGTTGTTTGGGGAGCTGACTGCTGTACTCCAACCCTGTGCTATTCCATTTCTACAATACTTGGAGCTCTTCAGGCCGAAAATTGCTGTGAAACATCCTGCCAAGACGATGGTTCCTGTTTTTGCCAGTGCTTCCTAATGCATGCAGAAATCCTCACTTGCAATATAAGAAAGCAGCAGGGAAAAGCAGCATTTATTTAGCTTAATTTAGCAAATGATTCAGTTTATTTACAAAGCTCATCTCGCTGCTGTTTAAATGCCTGTTGGAAATACTGCTGCCAGTGAAAAACAGCTGAGTTCAATACCTTTTGGTATCTTGTCATTTTCTTTTCAGTATTTTAATCTGGAAGGTGATGGAAGTCAGCCTGGGCTCAGCCTCCTGATTTCTCTAGAAACTGTGATCTCAACAGAATGCAGAAGTGGTTGGATAGTGGAGTAGAACTGTCACGTGAAGCAGTGAGAGGCTCCATCCCACAAAGCTGTGAAGCTGAACTGGGCTGGTGTTAAGGCTGCTGCTGTGGCCAGTGGGTCTGTGCCCCTGCTCTGCATCCTGCTCCAGGCAAACCCACACCAGCTGAGCCAGCTCTGGTGCCCACAGTGCTCAAACATTCATCTGGTAGCAACAGGGTCTGGTTTCCTCATGTGCCAACTGTGCTAATAACAACAGGAACCAAACACAAGATAAATGGCTCTGTGACTGTCTTGTTTGGTAACACGGCTGTTCCTCGGCTTGGGAATCTGCTTCCTCCTTTTCTTCCCCTCAAGGATTCATCTCATTAGCACTAGCAAATGATTACATTAATTATCTGTAAAATAAATGATGCCATAAAATGTTGCCCCTTCCCACATCCAGTCCACAAAGTGCCATTCTCCTCCTCCCTCCCTGGAGATCTCACTGGTGGATCCACATTTTCAAGGAGAGGAAGGGCCTAAAAGCTCAAGTTCCTTCTGCCAATACAGGAGCTTCTCATCAGTCCTGGGCTGAGCAAGCACAGAGAACTCAGTACTGGAACTGCCACGACCTCCTGTCTATTTAACTATGAATTATTGGAGCTGATAATTTCTACAAATGCACTCGCTTGCTAACTCACCCAGGCAGAGGAAACGGAGGTTTTAAGGAAAATCCTCAATCTTAACTTTCAGTGTAACATTTTCCTAGCTCGGCAGTTCATTTCAGAGCAGTTGCCCAGTGGTATATATTGTTCTGAGAAACATTTGTGATGATGAACTTCATATTTAGAATAGCCAAACGAGAAAATAACTTCATCATACGCTCACTCCACAGTGGGTTATTAATTATTTCTTAGCTCACTAGAACGACCTTGTTCCAAGATGCTAATTAATTTACCTCTGCTTATGCTGGTCAGCTTGACAATTCTGTATCTCTCAATTCGACTAAAGAAAAATATTTAAGTCTGTTTTAGACGAGAAGCCTCAGAGAAGCAATGTTTGGGTGGCAATCACTCAGCCTAATGGTCATTTATTTAAAAGCAATTGTTTCCACTGTAGCTAAAACTATGAAAACAAATCTTCCTGCCTAGCATTGTATAAACATTGTACAAAATGTACATTTTGGGACAAATTTGAGTCCAGCTGTGCCCCTTTTATCTTTGCATTTTTAGGTTGCTCTCCTCCTCCGCTCCCCCGTACCACCAGCATTAGCTGGAAGTCAGAATTTACTCTGCAAACGCCCAAGCTCTAAGAACACAAACTTGTTTAAGCTGAGACCATATTTGGAAGAGATCTGGGTCAAGAAAAATAATCAAAGGAAAGTGCATTCCTGGAGCACCACGTGAGGAGTTCAGAGCACACCCAGGGCCTGGCGCTTGGTACAGGGGAAGCCAAGGGGCCACGCACGACTGGCACCAGGAGCTCACTGCTTCTACTCCAGTGCTCACCCTGAGAAACACCTCACCACTGACTTTAGGCAGTTAAGCTTCTGTCAACGAGGTTTTCAGCAACACACCATCGACAGGATGTGTGTCCATGGCAGAAGATGAAAACCAATTCTGGCTCCATGCCCAGACACAGGTACCTGTCTGACCCTGCCACTAGTTCTGCTGAAGTAACCACCATTTCTTAGAGCTACAAACATGCCTGAAGGACTGAAACACCAAAATGCTCTCTTTTTCCCCCCGTGAGTCCAGCATTCTCTTTCTTATTTCAGAAAGATGCCAATTCCAGCCACTGTGACTTCAACTGATTCTGAACTGTATCCCATTGCATTTCCAGCAGAAAAACAAAAGCACAGGCTGCTGTTCACATCACCCTACTCCAAACAGTCTGAGGTTTTGTACATTTGGCTGTTACAACTGCAAGATTTCAGCAAAACTTTGCTTAAAAAAAAACCCAAAAATCTTTATTTTTCTGGTCTTCCACTTGGAGGACGTGAGTTGGAAAAGCCCCTGCAGATGGCACTTTGAGCCTCAGAATCTTTTAGTCAATTAGCAGCCAAATGCACATTGAATAGATTTACTGGTGCAATTAAAGCAGTGCAACTCAAGCAGTCAGCCCAGGGAACAGCCACACAAAGCACCAGGCTGTGATCAACACTCGTTACCTTTTGGTTGCAATTTTTGCAGCATAAAAGCTAAAATTTTTTACTGCATGTAAAGCAGTCCTTTAGCTGCCTGCTTAATCAAACAAAGGGTGGCAACACTGGGCCATACAGTTCAGGGGGATAAGATTCTGAACTGTGATTGCATGCATTTTTTTATCTTGCTGTGAATACTTTTTCCTCACACATTACTTGTTTCATCTTCTCCCAACTTTTATTCTCATCTTGTTTCCACTATTTTTAACTTGTGTATTCCTTGAGAGTTTCTTTTCCTCCAGCTTATATGTATTTTGCTGCTGTTTTCATGTATCCAAACACCTTCACTGTGATTTTAACTGAGTCTGAGCTGTATCCCACTGCATTTCCAGCAGAAAAACAAAAGCACAGGCTGCTGTTCACATCACCCTGCTCCAAACAGTCTGAGGATAACTGTCACAGGAAAACACCAGAGAAGCAGTGCAAGTGCAGAAAACATGAGCTGTTCAGAAAGACAGTTTCTGAAAAATATACATTGAAATTATTTTTATTTTTGCTGGAATTTAAAAAACATAGGAATATTGACATTGCATTTAAAAAACCCAGGAAATCAAAGATTATACATCATTGCATCTCTGAAATCCAACAAAAATGTCTCCATCATGCCTTTTTTTAGGAGATATCAATAGATGCATGAACATTTTGAACCAAGATCTTTAAAGAAGTGTCAGGCTATCAAAACTTGAAAGTGCTCTTCAATAAATACATCAAAATCTGTCACTCTCCTGGGAAGGGACACTGTCCAAAGGTTAGACAATTCAATGAACACGTTGTACAAAACACACCAAGCCCCAGTTCTCAAGGGCAGGAAAACCTGATGTATTTAAAGGGAATCACATGCCTTTAGCTTGAGATTTTAAGTTTTGAGAAGTGTTCCTGCGTGTGCTGCTTCTCTTTGTCCCACTCCATGTATTAATATTGGCAAGTACTACATTAGGGGTGTTCTTATCCTAAATGCAGACTGTTCAGCTGTTCTCATCATTCCTTTCCTGTATTGCAAATCAGGTACACTGACAGAGCAACAGACAGAAAGAGTCACTTCAATTACCTGAAGCTTGGAAAGAGAAGTTGTGAATTTCTACAGCCATGATGCAGGTTGTATGATTTATCCTCACCAGGGTTAAAGCAGTATATACACAGCTGGTTTAAAATGACACATTTCTTCTCATTGTGTCAGGGAAGAAAAGCTTTCTACAAAAGGACTTTTGAAAGTCATCTCCAAAGTCTTGCAGCTGCTAGAAAGACAATTCCAATTGCTACCACTTTGGCTCCAGACAAGTAGATAGGAGAGTTAAATGCTTGGGAGTAGTGTCCATCATGAATACTAATGGATATGGGGATGAGACCTCAAAAAGAAAGGCCTTGCCTGTCCCAGTAGCTTATTGACTGCAATGATAGTCAATATTTGTGGAACTCACTCATAAATATCATTATTTTTACTCAAAGCCATGTCCTAACAGCAATACAGACAACAATCCTGGGGGAATAATCACATGTATATATAAGAACACTATAAAAAAGTGACAAAGTTGTATTTCAATACAAAAGAGGTTTCTGGGGTTTTTTTCCCTGTGCATTTCTTCTTGAACCAAACCAGGCTTTCATTCTTATGTCACAGAACGAGGAAAAAAAAAATCAAATCCTAAAATTCTGATGGTTAGAAAAAACCAGGAAAGCTACTGTCATACTACAAAATAGTTCACTTTACAAAAAACCCAAAGAGTTATTCTATTACTTGTATGAGAAAGACACAGTGGGACATGAAAAGATCTTAAAACTAGACCTCAGCTATTTCTGGATAAAATTCTCTACTCTGATCATTGCAAGACTCTCTGACCTTAGGGGAAAGGAAAGGTTGGTACAGGGAACCAATGTGTGTGGAACCAGTCAGAGAGATGCTATGGATCAGGAGAAGAATCCCACCTTTATTTTGGTGTTTTATCATTTTTCCAGTAGAAATTGATATGGTGAGAACCATCCCAACAATATGAAGCAGGTACATTCTAACAATTCCCAACACATATCCCAACATTGTTTAATTTACGTAACAGTATAATCTGTCAGAAAAAATTAAAATCTGTTTATTTTATATTCTTTATGATGAAAAGGATATAAACTGCACTTTTAAATTAACTCATGCTCCGCCAAAACTGGGCTGCTTTAAGACTGATAACTTTAGTGGAGAGAATTAAGATGTTTCAGCAGGTATCAATTTTCTGTTAAAAAATGTCCGCAAGACAAAATAAAAAAACCTCTTAATTTACAACAAGCAAATGTAAACAGCAAAAACAATAGAAGCCACAACGTTTCACGCACCAGCTGCTGGCAGACACAGCTCCAGACACTCATAGAACTTTGTATCTTCCTTTGTTGGTTGGTTGGTAAGAATTTTGCTGCAATGAAAGGAGAGGATAATCACGGTTAAAAGTGAAAAATGGAGAAAAATGAATGGTAATAAAACCTCATTGGATTATTAGCTGGGTGTGCTGCAAAGCTAAACAGATCTCTCAACATGTATAAAATGTTAGAACACAGAATCAACCAGGTTGGAAAAGACCTCCAAGATCATCGAGTCCAACCCTACTGTGGTTACTAGTCCATGGCACTAAGTGCCACATCCAGTCTCAGCTTGAAAACCTCCAGGGATGGGGAATCCACCACCTCCCTGGGCAGCACATTCCAATGTCTGATCACTCTCTCTGTAAAAAAATCTATTCCTAATATCCAACCTAACCCTCCCCTGGCAGAGCTTGAGTCTGTGCCCTCTTGTCCTGCTGCTGGTTGCCTGGGAGAAGAGACCAACCCCCACCTGACTCCAACCTCCTGTCAGGGAGCTGGAGAGGGTGATAAAGTCTCCATAGAGGAATAATTCTCCTCTGCCCTGCCTGATGGAGCTGAAATTAGGAAATTTATTGGGACCCAGCTCTTTGAGGGGTCTTCATTCAAAAGGCTCTGTCAATGTGTTATCTCCATCTACTGGCTGGATAACAGCTGTGTTTGGGCTGATCAAACAGTGTTATGTATTTTTAGGCTGGTTTTGAGGTTTTTTGAGCTCTATAGGTCCCAGTCCCTGATAGGCATAAAAACATCTGCCAGATTGTGAATGTTTGCAGAAGTCAATCTCATCAAGTGTAAATTAAGGCACTTTCCCTCTGCATTATGGATATTGCACTCACCAATCTGATGAGCTCCTCTTTAATAAGTCGTGTGATTTCTGCCTTTGCTTTCTGTACAGCCAGTTCATTGGCACCTGGAGACAAAATACATATTATAAACACTTTCTGCATGTGAAGCTACAGAATGAACACAGCAGTGTTAATTCCCAGAAGCATTGTAGAACTTAAGAACACTCTAGTATTGCACAGTCTGCCACAGCTAGACTGTCTGAGATACTTAAACCAGTCATAAATGATCCTGGTCAGAAACACTCAGGATTAGAGGTTTCTTTGAGAAAACCTCTGCTCAACCATCCTAACATTTGCAAAATATTTGTTGCAGCAGTTGATGCAATTTCTTATACCTTTAACAGCCTAAACCCACAGAATTCTGTTTTCTCCCTTATCTCACACTGGCACAGAACTTCTTTGTGCTTATCCTATTTTTTTCTCTTTTCTTTCCCTCTCCTCCAAACTGATTCCACACATGTTTGCTGCTGGTGAGGAGAAGCATCTCTGTGATCCCCATGGATTACTTGACAAAGTGTTGAACAGAAACAAGAGGGTTTCAGATAATTGCAAAGTAACTACAGTGGGTCTGTAACAGCATCCAAACACTGACTCCAGAGATTCCATGTCCAGTTACAGAACTACACTCACAGCTTCAATGGCAACATTGATAAAACAAATTCATACTTTCTATAGCCAAATAAATCTTCCGCTCTCCTTCCTTGGGTTCTTTGCCTGGAGGGAAGTAAGTTCCTCTGATTGTAATAGCAGCCTCAGAATATTCACTGATTCTCTGCAGTGCTTCTTTGGAGGTAACTTTCCATCTGGCAGTCTGCAAGGTAAAGGATATGGGAGGATCAACAAGGAGAAAGGCACCACCCAAAGTGGTAATCTGTCAATCCCGCCAACCTGGGCAGAATCTCAAAGATAAATACAAGGATTTGTGCTCGATACTGTGAAATATAAATCCTCAGAGTAACAGATGAGGTGGATTAGAACAGAAATATTCTGAATGGCAGAAATACTCAAGAACTGAAAAAAGCACTAAGAGCTGTATCAGTCATAGCAGCAAGGCCTTTGCAAAAAGCACCAGACAGGGGCAGAGATTGGCATGCCAGTGGCAGAGGGTGAAAAGACTTTTGCCTGATAAGGAATGTTTATTTTTCTGATACTCTGTCAAATACACCCAAAGCATTGTATATATATATATATATATCTTATAAGCTGAGAAGCAATCCCAGACAATATAGTAATTTCAATTAGATATGACCAGAGATAAATATAAAATATTTTATTGGTGTAATCAAAATGTGAGCTGTGAAGAGAGGGTTTGTTAAATTATGGTCATTTACACTTGATTATAGCAAAATGGTTACTTGCCTGTGGGAAGTCATTGATCTCTAGTTCTTCTTCGTATCTCTTGAAGGATTCATTTTGTCCTCCATCCTGTTTCTCTTCCTCCTGCTTCTCTATGGGTACGTAATTGAGCTTGGCATTGATTTTTTCAGCCAGTTGCTCTGCAATGGTCTTGGCAGACACAGTAGGAGCCTGAATTGTGCCTCCTCTCAGGATAGCATTTGTAGCCTGCTGCATCACATCCTGTAAAAACACAGGCCCAACTTCAGAACAAGGGAGCCAAAACAACTCCTGTATAAACCAGCTACGGTTCCATTAACACTCCCTATGTAATATAATTGTCTAAATAACAAATACACTCTCCAGACTTCTGCTCTTCTTCCTCTCAGTAACTCCCCTCACACCTGCATAGAAAAGATCTTACTGGTCTTTTGTATCTTCAGCTTCAAATATCTTTGGACATTCCAGAACATATTAACCTCAATCAAATGCATTGTACAGCACACACTTCAGTGAAGAAAGATGTTCTGCAGCTCTGCCAAAGCTGACAAAACCTAACTGTGTAATGTCACCAGGAAGGAATGAGCTCTTTACCAGGGCAGACAAAGCATTTGCAGTTCTGTATTAAGCCTTAATAATCATATTAGCTCAATTACAAATCCTGTAACTTCTGAGTTAGCCCAGCACAAATCAGATAAATAATGCAGTTACTAGTGTGCAGAAGCACTAAATAAAATGGCAGCCACAGAACAAAGAACTGAACAACCTTTACTAAAAAGATTGGTCTGTACAGAGCCTGACCTTGAAATGGAAGGGAACCATCACTTGTGCCTCCGCTCCAAGATTCTTCTGGGCATTGATTCTCAGAGCCAATCTTTTAGCAATTTCCAATTTCTCTGCATTCCCAGCTGATGGTGTAGGAGCATTTGATGTTCCTGGTGCTGCCATGTCTTTTACTCTTTTCTTTGAATTGAACATGCTTTCGATTTGTTCATCGATCTAAAGAAAATAACACTTATTAGAACACTGCATTAGCCACTATAGAATCTTATCCTAAAGAAAGAAAACACTAAGAGACATTTACTTTACATGCTTTTAAAGACATTAATCTTGTACAAATGGTAGAAGCGTGTCCAGAACTACAACTTGACAAAAGGAACAGATTACCCAATAGTCAGGAAAAAATCTGAACACAGTCACAAAAAGGAGTCTAACAAACATTAAGAAAGGAACCTATCTAACAAGATCTAGAAATAGAAAAGGCTACTATGAATTTTTGTGTTTGCAGTGTTTTAAAGAAGTGTTTGCAACTGAGGGCAATTTTCTCACATTTACACAAGATTAATATCACAAATAGAATAATTGATGTGACATTTACATAACTGCACGTATTAAGTGTAAAATACTAGGTAAGCCAGAGAGAGACTTTGAAGATCTTCATAGCTCTATCTCTTTTATATCAAAGAGCACATATGCATCTACTCACAGAAATTAACTAATTAAGTCAGTAACAGGTCACAGTAACAGCAATCTGTGCATTCTGCAATGTGTTATGTAAACTACTGGGGAAAAAAAGGCATTCAAAATTCTTAAGTAACTTAAATCCTATTTGCTTACATCAACAGCTGTATCTTCATCATCTGAATCTTGCAAGCCAAGAGCTGCTTTTTGTAGCTTCTTTCTTTCATTAGCCAAAGCCTGTTCTGTTTCATCAAATTTAAAACCTTTGCCAGAGAATCCACTGCTCTTTTTAATCAGCTTTCCCTCCTGAAAACAAAAACATGTATTTTCATACTTAGAAGTTTAAAATCCCAGTTCTGATAGTCATAAAGATTATACAAAAAACTTCGAAGCTTTTTAAAAAGCAAATCCTAGCACACTCAGAAAACTCTTCAGATTTAAAAACTGTATTTTACCACCAAGTGTAATAAAACAGCTATGTTGGCTCAGCAGACATGGACAATCCCTACTGGGATTTTTTGTAAGTACACATTTAAAATTATTTTCAAATGCAGTAAAAAAAACCCCACAAAACATCAGTTTTTACATCAGAAAAACTTCAGTCACTCTTCCCAGCACGAGGGAGATCCTCTGATGGCAACAGCTCTAGAAACAATGACACAAATTCTGTGAGAGAACTTCATTATCTTGGGTGTGAATTCTGATAGAAGCACAGGTGCCCCTTGGCACCATGGGCATTTCTCTGGCACACAGCAGATGGCAATATTTCAATTCTCAAGGACAGTCCTGTAAATACAGTAAAGACCAATCCTGCAGACACACACTCAGCTAAGCACATGTGTTCCCAGGGAGGTGACCCACTATGCTGCACAACTGCACCCACGTGTACACAGGCATTAAACCCAGAGCAGAGCTCACAGCAGAACAGAGAATTACTTACAGCCTTCTGCTGGTCTTTGAAGTCAGCCCAGAGCTTCTCCAAATCAGTAGGGATTGGATTCCCAGACAATTCCAAAGCCTTAATGATATCACCAGCATACCGTGCCTGATCCTCAGTAATGAAGGTATATGCATACCCCTGGTCAAAATTAATGTAGGAGACAATAAAGAAAAGCTCTAAAGACACTTTATCTCTAAATCCATTGACAGACCCTTGCACAGATGCTGTTGTTCTGGTCAATGAAAGTAACCATGATAGTCATGCAGTAATTTCTTTAGTGGAACTGTAGCATGAATAATGTGATTTCCCAGGAAACTGACAGACAGGTAATCACTTAAAGATGGTAGATATTGAAATCTTTCCTTTCGATCAATTTTGTCATGGTTAAAAGTCTGAAAAATTAAAATTTTCTCAATTAAGTAGGGCACATTTCCAACAGAGAAAAACACTGTCAGTCACAAATGGGATTTAAAAGAACATTCACACACCGGAAGAACAGTAAGTTGCAACTTTCCTAGTGCTAAAATTCAAAATACATTTAAAGGAAAACACTTTTCCCACCGAGGATGTAAAGTACTCCCTCTGTAAGTATCCCTTGGGAACAACTTCATCAAGCACTAAAGAAGGAAAACATTTCAGTACTAACCAAACCAGAACTGATTCTACCTACTTTATTGCCAGCTCGTCCGGTTCGGCCTGCTCGGTGCACATAATCCTCATAGTGGTTGGGGCAGCTGTAATTGACCACCAGCATCAGCTGTTTGACATCCAGGCCCCTTGCTGCTACAGATGTGGCCACCAGAAGTTTGCAGGTTCCATTCTTGAAATCATTAATTATGCTGTCCCTGTCATACTGATCAATACCTGCAAGAAACCAGACAAATCAGTTCATTATAAAGCTCTGCTTTGAGCCAAAAGAATTTGTACACAGGTCCAAACAGCCTCCAACTTCAAACAGCCAAGAGCAGAAGCAAATAAAATTCCAATGGAGTCACACTTTTACAGGCAAAATACAGCAGCCAGAATAATAAATCTCTCTGACCTACAATAATGAAACTTTTAATTTTTCAACTACCAAAAGATGTTTTCTCCATACCAAGATCCTCAAAGTTTCTTTACTATGATTTTCTATTTGACAACTTATATTCAGTAGAGACATCACCTGGAGGCTTTGTTTGTTCTCTAAAGGCAACAGAAACCTCAGCACAAGAGTATTTTTCCCTCTTCCATTGTTGCCATGAACAGAAGTTTTGTACTTACTGGTTACTGTATTTTTTTACAGCATTATATAGAGAAAGGTTTAAGATACTCTGGGACGGACAATATTCTAAAGAGATTTTTCTCCTCTTGTTCATTCTGTTATATTCCTACTTGATGGCAGATAAGCAAAACAGCAGCTGCTATTATGGTGGAATCCCAAAAGAAAATATCATATAATACTCCCTAGTGGCATTCACTACTCTACAAGTGAGTGAGCAATATTCCCCATGAGGTGTTAACTCTCAGTAACAGTCCTGTTGTACAGACACAAGATTTGGCATCTGATGACATCTCACAGGGAGCAATGAAGAGCAGTTACAGAAAACTATCAAGTCAATTTCAAATTAAGAGACAATTACCCTCCCCAATTACACAGCAAAACCTGCTTAGGAAGAGACAATAACTGCTACTGCACAGAAACTTAGTAATTTGTAACTCTTGAATACCAACGTTCTAGTTTGGAGTAGTTAATATCAGTACTGAAGTTTGCAGATTACCTCCGTGCAGAGACAAACAAGGATAAGAGGCTCTCATCAAATCCTTCAACAACCCATCAGCATGTTCCTGTTTATCTACAAATATGATGACAGATCCTTTCTCCTGATAGTGTCCCAGTAGCTCCAGTAACTTGAGAAACTTGTTCTCCTCTTCAATGACAATCTGAAAAAAAGATACAAAAGTGAAGTAGAAAGAGCATAAATTGTATCTTGAGTCCTTGAACACATTCAGGGTGCAGAAAAATAAAAATCAGGAACAGGAGGTGACTTTTTCAGGCTGTTTCCACAGCTAGTGGCAAAGCTGCTTTTCAGTTAAGTGCCATAAACCACGTTTAAAGAAAGCAGTGATCACGTTGCATTTGCAGATTAGGGTGTTAATTTCCCCTGAGTTTATGCTTAATAAGGTCATCAACCTTGTGAAAGCCAAAGCTCTGTGGGTATATTGGCTTATACTCCATATTGCTGGGAACAATCTTTTGCAAGCACACGAGAAGTGAGGCAGATGGATGATACTCACAACGTGCTGCTCCACGTCAGAACAGACAACACTTCTGCCTCCAACCTGCACCTCTATAGGTTTACTGAGGATCCTCCGAGCCAGGGCCTCCATAGCTCTGGGAAAAGTAGCAGAGAACATGACAGTCTGACGGTCAGGCCTGACGTTGTCTACAATGCGCATAACCTGTGCCAAGAGAACATTCCCTGTTAATATCCAGGTGCTGTAACTGATCTTCACACACAGAGCCACCAGCTTTGAGGCTAGGTGGTGTCTGCACTACAGATACAACACATTCTGACACATTTCCTCTTGGGACTGAGCTGCTGGCATTGGGAGACAGGCAAAACTTGCTGGATTCAAAAGGACGTCGAGTGGCAATATGCAAACTGACAACAGCCCAGAAGAAATCTTAGGCCATGCAGCAGAAACCCTACAGCTCAAGAGACAAATAAAGCAATTTTCCTAGTTTTGGAGAACAACATAATGTACTGAAAGAGTCCTGGATGTCCAAAGCTCCCAGCAAATAATTTGTCACCGACATTCCCAACATGCTGTTCCTGTCTCTTGCGTGACATTGACAAGAAACATCAAAGACTTTATAAACAGACTACTAACATAACACCTGCATCAAGAGATTCCACAGGGCTACAACCTGGCCACAAGCATTCAGAACAAATGTGTGAAGAAACCTGTATATTAGAGAAAAATCTAAGCTAGATAAGAATTTATTGACAGCAAAACAGAGAACCATAGAATGGTTTGGGTTGGAAGGAACCTTGAAGATCATCCAATTCCAACCCCTTGCCATGGGCAGGGACACCTTCCACTAGATGTGAGACTAATAAAAAAATAGTTTTAATAGATGTGAGGATAATATGTGATGTTGTAACAATGTGATAATAGATATGAGGATAATAGAAACATTAAGAGTTTAAACTGTTGTCCATATGCAGCACATCTCTTTGAACAGCCACTGGCAGTGTAACAATCACACAGCATTGGAAAGTCCTTGCAGGGAGAAACAGCATCCTGTGGCACTATCACTCATGTCACGAATTACCTGAGGCTCAAAGCCCATGTCAAACATTCTGTCGGCTTCATCGAGTACAACGTACGTGACTCTGCGCAGGTTTGTCACCCGACCTGTGAAAGGAGAGGAAAAAACACATGGGAAACAAAATCAAATGGAAATCCAGTTTCCCTCAGGAATATATATATATTTTAAATGTTACATAGTCTCGCTATCTTCTAACAAAGACATTAATTAAATTTTTAAAAAATTCACTAAACGTGAATTTTCATGTTCACGCTTTAATCACACATACATTGGTGGAAATGTGTAAGTATGCACAAGGCCCTTTTATTGTGTCAAACTCTTCTCTTGCATACCATCATAGGGCCAGAAGAACCTGTAAAATTCAGAAAACTGCCAAAACACATCATAAAACTAAGACTGAGCTGAAGCAAGGAGCCACATCAGCCAGTATCTGACAGCGGCACCTAGGAAAGAACATATTAGAGATTACAGCGCATGTGTGGAAGGCAAAGCCCAGTGCTAACTGCTGCAGCCTCAGAAAACTCCTTCATACACAATCTGGAACGCTCCCCTGGAGCTAGGAATAACTATCTGAGGATAATCATACTAGCTCTAGCTCACTGCTAACAATATGCACAAAACAGAGTAAGCAGCTTTGGCAAAAGGCACAGAGAAAGATTCAAACCTACCCAGGAACACTACTGAATTTAAAATCAAGAACCACCCCAAGCTCTGGGACAGCTGGAAATAAAATAAGCAAATTCTGTATCTGTGGACATTTTGACATTAGGATGGACAGGATAATTAGCACCCTTCCCAAAAGAGCTATGAGATTCCCTCTCAGGAGAAGGATTTACCTCAAGGAGTTAGGAATTATACTCTTAAACGATATAAACATGGGAACACATTCAGTTCCACACAACTCTGCAGTGACATTGTCAAATGCTCTCAGAGTGGAACAGGATTGTCACATTTTCTAAAACTGTCACTCAGACCTGTGCCTATCAAACTGCAGTAGAATTTGGTCTTCTCAGCTTCAGCAAATTGTAGCTGAATCCTCCAATTATTTTACAGACATTTAGCGCCGCATGTTTAGGACATGGAATTCACACTTAAGGAACAAAACAAGGATTTCTTAAAATCTACATATCTATTTAACATCTAAACACTTTCATCCCCAAATAATAACTTTGTAAAATTACTTGGGAACAGCATTAATGTACCTACCTTTGACGATTTAAGTCTTGGAAGCCCAGTTCTATATGTCTTGAAGGTACTTTTTCCACAGAAGTTAAATAATGTCAACAGTTTAGTAGAGGTTTTGATGTGGAATAATTTAATAATAAAACTTTATCTAATAAGCATGCAATGGTTACACTAGGACAAAACCTCTTAAAGCTGCAGTGGCTGAGTTTAATCAATCTGAGTATCTGGTATAAGGTCAATTCCTTTACTTTGGAACAGGTACTCAGGGAGGGCTTCTTTGTCTTTTAAAGCCAACAGATAAAGGCAGAGTCAGATGCTTTTATGTAAAACTGGGAAACTGCTGAGCTACACTAACACAGAAAACAGATCAATGGGCAGACAAAATAAGCAACTGTTATATAACCTTTACCTAAAGGACTTGAAGTAAAAAAATTTGGACCAGCACATTTTAAGTTTACTTATGACAAACATTCTCAGAAACTCTTCAAAGAATGTAGTATTTCCTGTCCTCCCCAAAAGAGTCAAACTAATATATGCTTAAACCTACTATTAGTGCTAGATATTCCCAATAACTAGGTAGTGCAGCCTGAAGAGATATAAGAAAATTCCATAAGACCATTTATCAAAATACATGATCTTCTGAATTTGTTAGAATTACACAACAAATATAAAAAAAATCTCCATAGGAAAAGGATTTCTACTCACCATTGTTAGCTGCTAACATGTCAATCATACGTCCAGGTGTGCAAACAATAATTTCAGCACCTCTTTTGAGTTCAGCTATCTGATTTGGAAACACAATGAACAAACTATTAGAGTAGGTTTTGCATTGTGCAAGAAAGCAACCTACACTGTGATACAGCTGTTCTACTATGGGAGTTATTAAAGATGTTACTGAGCAGTTTCTTGAAGTCTTTGGAAAACTTTGCTTCCCAAAAGAGAAACTTCTGATCACGTAAGTTACTACCACCTGAAGTCATTATAATGGGGATATGACTTCTATAGAGTTAAGAGCCCATAAGAAATGTCATGTGTTCTATCAGGGACATTTTGTGTCATAGATTAATCAGAGATATCACATAGATTCTGTGACATCTGTGATATTCCATCATAGACAGTCATTCCTGTTGTTTCCATAAACCCTGAGGTAAGGGTGAAGTAACCCTTGAAATTAACCTCTAAATTACTCTGACATGCAATATTTGATAATACAATAACACAAAGTTAGCATTTTCTGCCTTTTGTTATCGTGAGGGGAGCTCTCAGAAAAACACAGCTTCTCAGTAACTCACAAACTATCCCATCCCACTAACAGTTTATTACTGCCAGGCTCAGTACACACATAAAACCAGTCTGAAACTTTGAAGGATCCTAGCTCAGAACTTACTGTATATTGAAGGCTAAGTTACATGCAAACGTTTAAGCTTTTGCATCACACAGAAAATCCATAATGGAGGCTACAAATGTACTGGGTTTGTGGGAGAGAGAAAGGAACTAAATTCACCGCAAAAGTAACAATAGGTGGGAGAGAGAAAGGAACTAAATTCACTGCAAAAGTAACAACAATAAAGTGCAAGAGTTCTTCGATGAGGAAGGTTTGTGTTCTGTGTACCTGTTCACTGATTCCTGTTCCCCCATAAACACAGACAACTCGAAGCCCAAGTGTCTTTGAGAATTTCTTGCACTCCTTGGTAATCTGCAAAGCCAACTCACGAGTAGGTGTCATGATGACAGCTGCAAAGCAGAGCATTTTCATCATACATTGCAAGATAGGAAATTAGGTGTCATGATGACAGCTGCAAAGCAAAGCATTTTCATCATACATTGCAAGAAGGAAAAGTTGCTCTTTACACAATAGAAAAAAGATCTTTAGTAATGATGTTTACAGCAATTTACTTCCTATTTTTAGGAATGTTACTCCAAGAAAAAGATAATTGAGACAGTATGAGGATGGGGTCAAAGAGCAGTGAGGTCTCTCAGACACATGGACATGGGAGTGCTCTTGAACCAGCAGTGATCACAAACACCATCAAAGAGCAGAGTGATCATTAACTGAAAGAAAGTCACTCATTAACAGACATCAGCAACCAAGAGAAGGACTGAAGATAAATCTAAAGCACATGCTTGAGGTTATATTTCATTTGTGACTTTGATAATAAAATCGTTGTACCTATGGGACCTTCTCCTTCTTCTAAGGCTCTCTGATCCATGATGTGTCTGAACATGGGCAAGAGGAACGCGATGGTTTTTCCACTTCCTGTTTTGGCAATGCCAATCAGATCCCTCCCGTTCATAATTGCTGGGATAGCCTGGGTTTGGATGGGAGTGGGCTTTTCATAGCCATGTCTTCAAGAAAGGGAAAAAATATGTAAAAACAAAATAAGATTTGACAGATCTGAACCACAAAGTCATGCTAAAAAATTCTGCGTGTTCATATTTACATATGCGTATCAGTGCCATTCAAAAAAGAGAGGTTTAAATGAGCAGCAAGAGCATGATACAAATCTGTAACTAATTCAACACTGAGTGATAAACACTCTGATGGCTGTATTTGTAACAGCTACAAACATGGACATGTGGCATTATGCAACAAAGAAAAGGGTTTTTCTCAAGAACATGTGACTGAACACAGTGAGCAAAATAAGAAGGATACAGTTCATACAGTACTTACTTTTTGAGGGCAGTGAGAATCTTCATGGAAATACCACACTGCACCCAGGTTTTGATGGGTTTGGGGCAGCCTTTTCCCTTGACTGTAATTCCCTCCAACTCCAGCCTGTACACATTCACCTCTGAAACAGTTTGCATGATGACAGAGTCAGCCTTGAAACATCACTACTACCTTGATCAAAATACTTTGGGTCTTAACATGAAACACGAATTTTATCAGCACCAGTAAAACAGCTTTTTGTTTGTAACACATAACACAGGAGGTAGGTGGAAAGGACTCAGGTAAATTTTCCACTCAAAGCCTTATATATAATACCTTATCAACAATAACATTTTTCTACACAACTTGCTCCAGATGCTCTTTATATTCCAAAAGAGTTTGCTGTTCCCTTGCACACTGAAACCCACCACTCCTTTCTTTAACAGGACCTTAGGTGTTCTGATTGCATTTGCCCTTACCTTCTTGAGTCATTTTGGCTAGTTCTGGTACTTCAACATAGAAGTTTTTCCTGAAAGGTTCATATTCTATCTTTCCATGATCCACTGGTTCTAGCAACTTTCTCTGCTTGGTCTGATAGCCAGTCAGGGCAGTCTGAAGGTCAACCTCCTCCTCTTCTGAGGAATACTGTAGAGATCACAATTTGTGTGTGCATTAGTATGGGTGATGTTAAACAGAGATTTATAGAGAAACTTCATTCAGAAGCAACAGGGACTCCTTACTCCCATACACAATACTCAAGTTAAGAAAAGTCTCAGTTGTTGTTCCTTCTATTTCTTTCACGTTTCTCCCAAACCTTAACTTTCCACCTGTTTTGCATCACTTTCACATCTTTATGAATCTAACTACCAGCCTTGTCATTCAGAAACAACCAGTGCCAGACAACAGAAACAGTAAGAGGCAAACACTAAACAAAGCACCCAGCCAACAGATTTCTGTCCCACTGCAGTGCCAACTCGGACAGAGTCCTCACCTCAGCTTGGATCAAGCACTTCCAGCACTGGAACTGCAAGCACAGAGTGTGGCATGGCCTGGCCAAGCTCTAGGGCCTGCAGGGTACCCAGTCTACATCCAGGAAAGGCTGTCCCTCCACAACCTCCTGAACAGCAACATGGCCAAACCCTTAACAGCTCTTCAGGCCTGCACCCCACACACAGCCCCAAAAGTCAGGAGGTGCCTTTTCAAAGCAGAAACACAAGACATTTCCATTACCTCCATTGCATCTTGGTCATTCTCCATGAGCTCCCCTTTCTTCTTTTCTGACTCCACTGCTGCCTTTTTGGTTGTCACCACGGTTACCACCTTGGTAACAGTTGGTCCAGATTTCTAGAAAAACAGTTAAGAAAAATTATTTCACTACTCTGTCAAACAAAAAACCACAATGTGCACAATATATCAAATATCTGTACTTCTGAATGCATTTGTTGGGTTTTTTTCTATCTCCTTCAGGGAAATGCTATCAGAATATTGCTTCATAAATCAGCTTCATAAAAACACCAGGCAGCTAAAGTGAAGGCAAACAGGCACTAAGTGCATCTAACTTTTGCTTTCTTGCATTTCCCCCATTTTTTTCCAAGGCATTTTGCTATTAGGACACAAAGTTTTGTCTTTTAAAAATAAGAAATCTTAATAGATGATTTTACCTTTTCACTCCCACCTCCACCTTTCACACTTCTCATATTGAACTTCTTGACCTCTTCTTTTACTTCTTCCATATAAGCATCCAAAGGATCTAATTCCTCATCTTCAACCTCATTCCCTTCTTTTTCTCCTTCTGCAGTTTCCTCTTCATCATCTGATATGAACAAGAAAGGTGGGGATAAAACACAGGGTAAGACAAAAGTGCTCACATGTCTCACATTGTTAGTCTACCCAAATAATTACAGTCCAGTGTTACTGCTATATAATTTTTCTTCATACTAATCTCTCCAGTTGATGAACCAAAAACGTATCTTAAACCATGACCAGATTTAGGCTTTGTTCTTTTACAGTTAATATTCTGAAGAGTAATTAAACGCTTTAAAGATAATATAATAAAGTATTATTAGGAACAGAAGTATTCTACATATGAAAGGTTAAATACCATCATCATCTTCTAAACTCCATTTTTTGCCTTGTTTCATCTCTTCAATTTCCTTTTTCAGCTCTCCTATGTTTTCCATCGCCTTCTTGCGTTGTTCTTCCCTCCATTTCTCCACTCTTTCTTTTCGCTTTCTCATTTCTTCTTCTAGTTTGTTCTGATCAAAATTCTATGATAAAAAACATCCAAATAATGAAAATTAATGGCCACTGGTTTTAGACTATGCTTCTCTGAACAAACATAACCATTGTGTCATAACCATCTGTAGGAGAGTGGGCAGACACAAACTTCCTGATTAAATTTTTTATCTTTTAAATTTGTAAGTGTTAAAAGCCTCTACCTCAGTGGCCACAGCATTGGTGGTAGCATCTTTGTCCTTCTCTTCTTCCTTGTCATCCTTGTCTTTTTTCTTTTCCTTGGAAACTTCAACACCCTCTGTCTTTTCTTTAGATCTTGATCTGAAAGGCATGATCAAAGATTTCTTAGAACATTATAACCTTTCTCAAGGGGAGGATACACACGTGCTGGATAGAAACAGAACTATGAACACCCTGCACAGGTTTATGTTTTCCAGCACCTCACAAAAACACACTGCTTCCCAGAGAATCCTTCCCTGTCATGGAAATACTTCCTCTATCTACCAGAAATGTAGAATCTATTGCACTCCATTGATTCATGTGTTTTGGCTCTGTTCTTCCCATTTCTTTACAGACCTCATTTCCAGAACACTTACAACTGATACCCCAGTGGTTCTACAGTTTATTTTACACCTCCCTGAAGTCAGCATTTAGCAAGGAGATACTAAAAATTTCCTGTTTGTGGAATTTCTAGAGAAAGGCAAAGTGATCCAGCACTTTGCCATGGCAGCCTGAACGTCCCCCTGAGCACGTGGTAGTGGTTCAACAACATGAAAACACTTCTCCCTGGGAAAAGCTACTTATGTAACACAAAAGTAACCTGCAGACCTGCACTGAATACACAAGCCAATTATCACAGATTGGATTAGCCTTACTTGCTGTTGATTTTGAAGAAAAAAATTCATCTAAGTATGTGCTAACTCATGCCAATAAATGCAAAATTCACTTTAGTAAATTAAATCCATCAAGCCTTTTCCTTTGGGCTATTCTCATACAAAGCATACACTCACTCCAAAAGACTGTGATTACAGCTTCTCACACTTTCTAGAGTGCCATCAACTGCTTGTTCTGCGTACTGAGTGCTGTTACAGGGTATGGACTTCCCACTCCTGTAACAGTAGAGCATGAATAAACACTGTCTGCAAGTGTATCTGAAACCTTCATCAAGACATATTTAAACGAACATAGAATCATAGAATCAGCCTGGTTGGAAGAGATGTCAAAGATCATCCAGTCCAACCTTATCATGGTTACTAGACCATGGCACTAAGTGCCACATCCAGTCTCAGCTTGAAAACCTCCAGGGATGGTGAATCCACCACCTCCCTGGGCAGCACATTCCAATGCCTGAGCACTCTCTCTGGAAAAAATCTCTTCCTAATATCCAACCTAACCCTCCCCTGGCAGAGCTTGAGTCTGTGCCCTCTTGTCCTGCTGCTGGTTGCCTGGAACATGCCCTGCAGTTAGCTTTCACACATTTCTGAAGTCAAGAACACAAGAATACCTGTTCTCTGTTTTCCTGTTCTTGCTGGGGCTGGAGGATCGGGACCGTCTGCCCCTGCTCCTGCTCCGGGATCGCCTCCTCTCCCTGCTCCGGGACCTCCTCCTCTCCCGGCTCCGCTCCCTCTCTCTGCTCCTCGAGCGCCTGCCAAGGAACACAAGTGGATTTACTTAGCACCTGATCACAGTCTCACTGCAGTCTGCTCTGGAGAAAGAGGTGGTAAAAGGAACCCACCAGCCATCAGGACCACTAAGAAGTTGCAAACTTCAGCACCAGCATCTAGAAACCATTTAATAAGCCAAACCTGTTCAGCACAGTGAAACCCATCAGCAAAGTGACTTCTCAGAGGGAAGAACATCAATATTCAGCTGATTCACACTTTGACTGGAACGATTTCCTACCTTTGCCGCTTCCTGGAAGAACATCAATATTCAGCTGATTCATACTTTGACTGGAACAATTTCCTACCTTTGCCGCTTCCGGTCGCGCGATCGAGACCTTCTCTTGTCCCTGCTGCGTGACCTCTCGCGCCTGCGCTCTCGGTCTCTGCTCCTGGAGCGTCTGTCCTCACGTTTTCCCCTCTTGTCCGAGGGAGAGCGACTCCTGGATCGGCTCCCCGAGCGCCCGCGCGACGCCGAGCGCTTCCGGTAGTGCCTGTGTGCAAACACAGATCAGCAACAGCTCAGTTTGCAACTAAAGGATATTGGTCATATTTAGGTGAACAAGAAAAAAAAATTAATTCTTCATCTTCATTTCTTTGGCTTTTTAAAGTTCGCAATGTTTGTGATCACCTTGCCGAAATGATGAATATACTCCTCATGATGCTGAAATTAGGGGGATTATTTAAAAGAACATAGAATCATAGAATCAGCCTGGTTGGAAGAGACCTCCAAGATCATCCAGTCCAACCCTACCGTGATCACTAGACCATGGCACTAAGTGCCACATCCAGTCTCATCTTAAAAACCTCCAGGGATGGTGAATCCACCACCTCCCTGGGCAGCACATTCCAATGCCTGATCACTCTCTCTGTAAAAAGTTTCTTCCTAATATCCAACCTAACCCTCCCCTGGCAAAGCTTGAGTCTGTCAGGGGAGTTCTAGTCTTGCTCCCCTGGCAGAGCTTGAGTCTGGCAGGGGAGTTCTAGTCTTAGTTTAGTTTTAGTACGACGACGTCACGAGAACACCAGGACATCAGGAACAATTCCCTTTCCAGAAATCCACTGCTTTCCACTGTATCCAGGAACAGCTGAAGGCTCTTTGAAGCTACCTCGAAATCTGTCACATAAACCAAACTGTTCTTTGTTGCTTTTTGCACAATATGTAATGCACATCCAGGTAAGGTTGGCAAACTATACCCATGCTCAGGGGGAAAGCTGTAAAACTGTTACTAGAGACACATACACCCCTGAGCATGTGACACAACTGTGGTCAATGTCTTTGTCACACTGACAACAAGAGAAACCCTGTGGTATCATCAAACATCACAAGGGAAGCTGCAAGGCCTGAGGGATGTGTGATGGAGATGGTGTCTCCTTTTCTTACCTCATTAATGCTCTCTCATCCCAACCACACCCTGGGAGAGAGCAGGGCTAGCAATTCTCTACAAAACTCTTCAGCTGAGTGTAACACCCTGGGAGAGAGCAGGGCTAGCAACTCTCTACGAAATTCTTCAGCTGAGTGTGCAAGACACAGAAGGACCTTGTCCATGACCATCTCCTCTCCTCCAATTCCTGATTATTGGTCACATGCCAGAATAATTTCCTTGTTCACCCTCCTGTGGCCCAGGACCCACAGATCCTTTCTCCTAACAACCCTAGTAGTCAGGCTTGGGAAGTAAGAAGAAGTCAAGGCTTCAAGTCCCCCAACTCCTTTCACTTCCATCACTGCCACACAGAGTTGTATTAAAACAGTTCAGCACTACAAATGACACAGTTTATTTCAGTGTATTTATATTCAGCCTGTGTTATGTAGGTACTGTGTGATTTGGAGTCAGTGCAGGAGCACAACATCCACACACAGTCCATCAGCACTGCAGCTGAGTGTGAAGAACATCTGCCAGTGTTGACATCTCCAATTTCCTCACCATCTCTGTCACAAAATGCCAAATGATCTGCTCCATACTTCCCTTCCTTTCTACTCTTTTACTGAACCAAATATTTTATTTCCTTTTTTTCAGATTCCCCCTGCAGCGTGCAATAAAGCTGAGGAGATGATTCCAAGTTTCCAAAGCCTCAGCCTGAGGAACATTTGCTCACATCAACCCCAGCACAAGCCACCCCCACCCACCATTCACCTTCTTCCCATTGCTTCACTTCTAAAACTTTTTGTATGCCTTAAAATAGAAAATCAATCCAAGTTTAAGCCCACTTTTTAACATCATTTTTAGCCCGTGCCATTATGAGCAGAGAAGCTGCACTGTGAAACGGGAATGCAGCAGGCTGAAGTGCAGCAGCTCGGGAGATTCCAGCCGAATCCTGCTGGCACCCACCGCCAGCCTGAAGCTAATTGAGATAGCGATCGATGGGAGTGCCCAGCTCTGCGCTGAATCACTAATTCGACCCCAAACCGGTTGTGAAAGTTTCAACTCCTGTGGCTCTCTCGGTACGAATCTCCGTTAGATGTTACAGTGCAGCGTCAGTTTCAGTGCTAAAAGCGGAGGGTCAGATCCACGTAGCAAACAGACACGTATTACCGACAGCACCGGCAGAGCGCGGGGTCGGTTCGGATTGTCCCGAGGGAGCAGAGCAGGCTCGGCCGGGAGCGCACGATCGCGTTACCGCTGGGCCCAGCGCTACCAGCCGCGCGTGGACACCGATCCCGCACAGCCTCAAAAACCCCAGCGAAAAAACAAAACCCCAGCGGGATCACGACGCCCTTCAGCACCGCCCGCGGGGCCGGGGAGACACAGCGATCCGGAG